TTTTGCTAACTCTTGTTTTGTAGTAATGCTAGTAGGGACTGCAAAGTGAAGCCTTTACTCGTGTATCACTCTGAAACTCCTAGAGTGTTCAAGAAAAACAGTGTTGTCAAAGCTTATTTGTGTGTGATGTGGAAAGCAAACAGTAAGGCGTGGGTCACTAGGGACATTTTCCATGATTGGTTCTATCATGTGTTTGGCCCCACTGTGAAAAAATACCTCCTGGAAAATAAATTGGACCTCAAGTGCCTCCTGGTATTAGAAAATGCTCCTGCCCATCCTCCAGGCTTGCAAGAGCAAATTGCAGGGGAGCCGAGCTTTATTTAAGTTTTTGCCTCCTAACACCACTCTTCTCCTCAGGCCCATGGACCAGCAGGTCATTTCAAATTTCAAAAAACTGTACACCAAAGCAGTGTTTCAAAAGTGCTTTGAAGTGACCTCACACACTGAATTGACCCTAAGAGAGTTTTGGAAAGATCACTTAAGTATCCTCGGTTGCATAAACCTTATAGGTAAGGCTTGGGAGGGAGTGACTTGCAGGACTTTGAACTCTGCTTGAAGGAAATTGTGGCCACAATGTGTACAAGAGAGGGATTTTGAAGGGTTTGGGGCTAACCCTGAGGAGCCTATACCAGTTGTGGAATCTATTGTGCCATTGGGGAAGTCCATGGGGTTGGAGGTTAGTGGGGAGGATGTGGAGGAGTTGGTGGAGGACGACAATGAAGAACTAACCACTGATGAGCTGCAAGAGCATCTGCAACAGCAACAGACCACAGCTGAGGAAATTGCTTCAGAGGAGGGGGGAGAGAGATGGAGGAAGTTGCCTTCTTCAACGATTAAGGACATTTGTACAATGTGGACAAAGGTGCAAGCCTTTATGGATGAACATCACCCTGACACAGCTATTGCAAGCCGTGCTGGTGACTTTTACAATGACAATGTTGTGGCCCATTTTAGGAAAATCTTAAAGGAATGCCAGAAACAGAGCTCTATGGACAGATTTTTGGTGCAACAAAGGTCCAGTGACTGTCAAGTTATTCCCAGCGGCATTAAAAAAAGAAGGGAAGTAACCCCAGAAAAGGACTTGCTCCCTAAAGTCCTTATGGAAGGGGATTCCCCTTCCAAACAATAATACACCTCCATCTCCCCTCCTCCCATCTCATCACTCATCAATAAATCTTCAATAAAGGTAAGTGTCATTTATTTTTCATGTAGTATTTATTATTTATTATGTATTCTTCATGTTTTCTGTGTAGGAAATTGTATACTTTATGTGAAAAAAAAAAATTTCTTTTAATACTTTTGGGTGTCTGGAACGGATTAATTGAATTTCCATTATTTCTTATGGGGAAAATTAATTCGGCTAATGATAAAATCGGTTAAGGACAAGCTCTCTGGAACGGATTAAAATCGTTACCCAAGGGTCCATTGTATATAGCAAAAACAAATCAACAATCGCTTCTATCCTGGCAAAGAGAAAAGAAATCAAGGAAGCTGATGTTGCAGAAAGTGTTGATATGCTAACCAAAAATAGACCACAAATAGTCAAAGAGGTTGAGAAGTTGTTGAGTGTGTGGATCAAGGATAAGGAAATAGCGGGTGATAGTGTTTCAGAGACGATCATTTGTGATAAGGCAAGGCAATTGTATGACAATCTCATAAAGAAAAGGCCTGCAACGAGTGCTGCTGTTAGTGACTTTAAGGCCAGCAGAGACTGGTTTGACAGATTTAAGAAGCATAGTGGCATACACAGTGTGGTAAGGCATGGGGAGGCTGCCAGTTCAGATGAACAGGGAGCTGAAAAATTCATAACTGAATTTCAGGAGTACGTAAAGACTGAAAAAATTTGAACCCAAACAAGTGTTCAGTTGTGACGAAACAGGCCTGTTTTGGAAGAAAATGCCAAAGAGGACCTACATAATGCAGGAGGAAAAGGCACTGCCAGGACACAAGCCTATGAAAGACAGGCTAACTCTCCTGTGCTAATGCTAGTGGGGATTTTAAAGTGAAGCCTTTATTGGTATATCACTCAGAAAATCCCAGTGTGTTCAAGAAAAACAATGTCATCAAGAATAGATTGTATGTGTTGTGGAAAGCTAATAATAAGGCATGGGTCACAAGGCAAAGTTTCAAAGAGTGGGTCCATGACGTGTTTGGTCCCAGTGTGAAAAAAATATCTCCTAGAAAATAAATTGCCACTCAAGTGCCTCCTGATACCAGACAATGCTCCTGCACATCCTCCAAACTTGGTAGACCTACTGTCTAGGGACTTCAGTTTCATCACAGTGAAGTTCTTGCCTCCTAACACCACTCCTCTCCTCCAGCCCATGGACCAGCAGGTCATTTCTAACTTCAAAAAACTCTACACAAAAGCAGTATTTGAAAAGTGCTTTGAAGTGACCTCAGACACTCAGCTGACCCTAAGAGAGTTTTGGAGGAATCATAACAGTATCTACAAATGCATAAGCCTTATAGGTAGGGCTTGGGAGGGAGTGACTTCCAGGACTTTGAACTCTGCTTGGAGACAATTGTGGCCAGATTGTGTCCAACAGAGGGATTTTGAAGAGTTCGAGGCTGACCCTGCTGACCCTCTGCCTGTTGTGGAAGGTATTGTGACATTGGGCAAGTCCATGGGGTTGAAGGTGAGGGGCAAGGATGTGGAAGAGTTGGTGCAGGACCACAGGGAAGAGCTAACTAATGAAGAGCTGCAAGAGCTTCATTTGGAACAGCATCAGACCACAGCTCCGGAACTTGCTTCAGAGGAGGAGGAAGAGGGAGTGGATGAGGTGCCTTCTTCACAAATTAAGGAGATTTGTGCAAAGTAGAATGATGTGCAAAGGTTTGTGAAGAAATACCACCCTGACCAAGCTGAAACAAGCCATCTCTGCAACAAGTTCAATGACAGAACCATGTCCCACTTCAGGGACATCTTAAAGAGGAGCCAGAAACAGAGGACTGTGGACAGTTATTTTGTGAGACAGGGGTCCAGTGACTTTCAAGCTGGTTCTAGTTGCATTAAAAGACAAAGAAGGGAAGTAACCCCAGATAAGGACTTGTTACCTAAAGTCTTTATGGAAGGGGATTCCCCTTCCAAACAACAAGTGCTCCCTCACTCCTCCTCCCTTTCTTCCAGATGCCATCAACAATCTTCAATAACGGTAAGTAAAAATGTTATTTTATATGTTTATTTAAATGTTTATTTATCTATTACTAATTGTACTATGTATGCTTGTTGTGTGTATGTAAAACTATAATTAATCTCTATAAAATGTATTTTTTTATGAATATTTTTGGGTTTCTGGAACAAATTAATTGTATTTACATTATATCTTAAGGGAAATATTGCTTCGAGTTTTGAGCATTTCGACTTTAGAATTAGCTCCTGGAATGGATTCAGTTCGAAACTCGGGGTACCACTGTGTATTGTTTATTATGTCATGTTAGATCAATTGTGATAGGCAAATAAGCCACAGTGTTGATATTAGCATAATAATAAAGCATTTTCCCCTGCATCATGAGACTGAGCTCATGGCAACTGTAAGTGGCTTCAAAGCCACCTTATCTTTTTTTTTTTTTTTTGGACAATGTACTGTGTGTGTGCTTTACACAACAAAAAGCATTTCTTTTATTTGTTGGAACCATGGCTAGGGCTAAAAGTAAGCAGGTTATAACAACAAATGTAGAAAAAGAAATTGGAATGACTTATGCAGCAAGTAGCACCACTAAACAGTACCAGCAGGTTGGTGTAGCGACCCCTGGAAATTTGAAATTATGATAGCTGAAATTAGTGCTGAATAGCTGATGGAACCGGATGTCTGTTTGCCGGATTTGTGATGGCAGACCTGTACAATTATCATGCATAGTGTAAATTATCTAGGATGGTTGCAAAGTATGGTATATGAATGATGATGCAAGGAAGAGATTGGATGTAGTGGATATGTTTGATATCAATGTAGGATGTAAACTCAAGATATAAAGTGCTTACATCTTTTTTTTTTTATCTAGGAAACAGGAAACAGTAAAGGTATTAAAAAAATATGAATTAACAAATTTCTTTAATTTTTTAGCCATCTGATTTCTTCCTTTGACACAATGAAGTCAGGTTCTACTCATCCAAGAAAATTTAGCATTTTTGATACAAACATTTTCACTGTCTATTGATCATCTCTATATCTGCTGTAGGAAATGCTCAAGACATTTATTGAAAAATTCTGCATGTTGTGTATTATAGTATTTTGCACATGCTTTCACTAATTAATACAGTACAAATATTTGTAAGGAATGTAAATTACATAGAAATGAATGCATAGCTGGATAAGACAGAGTTAATTTTAAAATTTTGAAGAATAAGGGGCTTGGACTTCCAGCAAGCGTGCGTGAGCGTGTTAGATAGGAGTGAATGGAGACGAATGGTACTTGGGACCTGACGATCTGTTGGAGTGTGAGCAGGGTAATATTTAGTGAAGGGATTCAGGGAAACCGGTTATTTTCATATAGTCGGACTTGAGTCCTGGAAATGGGAAGTACAATGCCTGCACTTTAAAGGAGGGGTTTGGGATATTGGCAGTTTGGAGGGATATGTTGTGCATCTTTATATGTGTATGCTTCTAGACTGTTGTATTCTGAGCACCTCTGCAAAAACAGTGATAATGTGCGAGTGTGGTGAAAGTGTTGAATGATGATGAAAGTATTTTCTTTTTGGGGATTTTCTTTCTTTTTGGGGTCACCCTGCCTCGGTGGGAGACGGCCGACTTGTTGGAAAAAAAAAAAAAATTGAAAATCCATGTCTAATTGCTGAGGAGTCTGCAGAGTTATTCAGGGAATCAGTGACAATAAAACAAACTGCAGTGAGAATGTCTCTTTCTAAGATATACTAATTTACTATTTTATCAAGAAAAGTCACCACTTTCAGCATTCATATTCTACCATTTCTATCATTTCAGATTCTAAGTCCCTCAATGATAATTGGAGTGTAACTAGATACTATAAAACAAATTTCTCACCTTAGTAATATTTGAGGCTACATGCTTCGTGATGTTTTCATTACATTCTGTCTCGGTTACTATATTCAACCAGTTGGCCACTTGCATCCCAGCTTGATTCAAAAGAGCAACCAATTGCTCTGCATATTCATCTAGTGCTTCAGGCTTTCTCTGTGCTAGTAATCCTCCAAAATGTAGAAAAACATTTTGATATTCTTCTATTTTCTCACTATTTCCAGGTGCAAAATCATTTAAAGTTTTTTTTGAATTTTGGTTTTCACTGGCTTGTACAATTTCCAAAAGTTTCTGTTTTTCACTGTCACTTCTGCCATATTTCATACATAACAAGCTTAGGTCATTTGGAAATGAACTTGGTGCATCACAGGGAAACATGCAGTTAAATATGTGTTCTGCTGAATAAAACTCCAGTATGCTTTTATGTGGAGCAGCAAGTTGTATAATGTACCCTTTAGACGTCCATTTACAGTCCATGTTTAAGAAAGCACTGCACATGTCCTCAACTGGCAAATTTAGATCATTGCATTTTCTTTCTAGTTTTTTTTTACAGTCATCAGAAAAAAGAACTTCAGATACAGACATGGTATCATAACAAACTTCATCAAGCAGTTTCATAAACTGATTACAGAGGTCTCTAAATCTTGACAAGGATGTCACTTCATAATTTTCAGGATTGCCTTCATCATGAACATAAAGTCGATCAATTAGTCGGCTCTTAATAAGTTCATTCAAAGCAATGTATAGGCCAGTAGATGTGGTGACAGACCTAATCCTTTCTGGTGAAGAGGCCCAAAGATATGTCAAGAGGGTTAGGTTAAGAGGCAAGTGAAAGTGGTCACCGAGACGAGCATGAGAATGCTTCAGGTAGTCTGCAAGATTTTGTGTATTCTGTGTACTCTGTCCATTAATGAGCATTTCTTCATGTAGCCGTGATACAAACTATTTGTCTATTATAAGGAATCCCTGAAATCCTAACTTGAAACTTAGGCTGGTTGTTGCATAGTTTAGAAACTTCATGCAACTTTACTGGCCGAGTTGTGATAAGAATGTGAAATTTCTTATTGCTTTTTTGCATCTGTGCTGTGAAAATTTCCTCTAAAAGTTTTTTTGAATTTGAATTCAGCTCATCTAAACCATCAATTAGCATTAAAACATTAGAATCAAGTACAGCTTTATTGAGGTCCTTGTCTGTAAGCTCATAAGATGATTTTGGTAAAAGAAAAGTGAGCAAGTCTGAGAAGGTAGGTATTACTTTATTCTTACACTCACAGTACAGCACAAGATCATACTCATCCAGTCCTCTCACTGTACATGTGTTTTGTGGAGTGCTTGCCCACTCTGATAACATCAGCTTCAGAAGTGTTGTCTTCCCTGCACCTGCCTCTCCTTCTATAACTAATATTGAAATACTGTTATCCTTTTTCAAAATCTCTAATAACAATTCATAATCAACAGCTTCAGTGTAAGATTTATTGATGTCCTCTATTATGAGATCAAGTCTTGAAAATACTGTTTTAACTTTCAATGTCTCCCTACCAGAGATGAATGATGCTGGATCAACATTGGACACAGTGCTGTATCTACATTTAAGCTCAATTACACTTTGCTTCACACTATTTCTGTGATACTCTTTTAATTCAGCCAAATCTTTTCTGTACTTTTCTATACTTGAAACTGATAAGGAAGTATGTACTATTTCTGTAATATTCTTATTTAGTGTAGCAATAAGATCATTTATCTCTTCTTTGGTTTTATCATAAAGATCTCCAGCACATTCAAGAGCCTTTATGAATAAACTTTTAATTTTATCCATTAATTTTTTCATGCAAGTTTCACTTTTTATATAATCTTCCTCATGAATTAAGGAGCACCTGACATCTTTGATGGCAGTTAACAGATATTCTAGTTTTGTTTCATCTTGAACACTCCAGTCATGTAGGTCATCACATGCAGCCTTGATGCATGCATATAGCAAAGTTAGATCAAATTTATCACCTTCAGGATTTGCCCTAATCTTTCTTTGTTGGGTTTTATGAAAGTGTTTATCAAAGTCACGTTTAGACATTTTTTTATAGGTTGTAAGATAGTTCTCAAGTGTTTCACTCGGGTCTTTCTTGCAGCCCCAACAAAATATTTGAAAAAGTATTTTACAACCCTGACTAGTTAGCACTTTGTATACTTTTAGGAAATATATATCCTCATCTTGGATAGCAGATGTATTTAACATTTTGCTTGTAGTATTAAAATTTATCAGTCTCTGTCAGCTAATCTTCCACTAAGTGGGTGAAAACACACATTTGCAGTTAAAGGTGCCTAATGTTAAATTTTCACAATAATTTGATCTGTGTCTTAGCAAACTATGGTTGTCTTTCTGCAAGAGTGATAAATGTACTTGTACAGATGAGTATTTGAACACAATAGCAAATACAGTATGTTTTCAAATACACTGGATCTTTTATATTAATGATTTTCATGTTATGGTATAAGTATGTTTCTTGATGATAATACTGTAATTGAGTAATGACCTCATAAGAACCATCATAATCTGATGACTGATAATAATTTCGTGACAATAATGTGTATCTTACTTTACATGAGCACATCTGCCAGCCAGACAGGTTGACATAACTTCAAGTGAATGTCAGGTACATATTGTACAGCATTTGAACTGGATAAATTCAAGTTCCTAAGTACAGTAGATGGTTATCTTGATTGTAAGCTTGAACATCTCACCAGAAAATGTAAAGTATTGAAATGGGAACATCTATATTCCAATATTTTCCATGGACTCTTCAGTAAGACTTCTTTTGTCAAGTTTATATATCCTATATACTTTTCTGCATTGACACAATGAACTCATTAATTGTAGCACACTAATTCCCATTGTACAAGTTATGTTTCTTTCATTCAAATTGCCTACAACAAGCTATTCAACACTACTAGTATGTAGGTTAGAATTCCTGAAGTTAATTTAGTGGCTTGAAGTTTCAACCATAGATGAGGAAGAGGATTCAGGTGCCATTTGCTCTGTGGAGAAAAAGGATAAATGAAAATACTGCAGTACTGTACATGATTAATTTAAGTTCATATATTGATATACAGGCACATTAAGGAATAATAATTAAATGTGTGAGCAAAGTAACATTTATGAAGGGATTCAGGGAAACCGGCAGGCCGGACTTGAGTCCTGGAGATGGGAAGTACAGTGCCTGCACTCTGAAGGAGGGGTGTTAATGTTGCAGTTTAAAAACTGTAGTGTAAAGCACCCTTCTGGCAAGACAGTAATGGAGTGAATGATGGTGAAAGTTTTTCTTTTTCAGGCCACCCTGCCTTGGTGGGAATCGGTCAGTGTGTTAATAATAATAAAATTAAATGTGGGGCACAAAATTATTGCTGGATCTATCAGTATGAATTTGCATACATAATTATCATACTCAGTTTTATTTCAATACAGTATGGGTTAGTGAAGATAAACTATATTTCCTTCTAGATTTGTTGACGAAGGATAAACTGTCTTCATGAAAAAATGCCACTATCTAAATACAGTGGACCCCCGGTTTACGATATTATTTAATTCCAGAAGTATGTTCAGGTGCCAGTACTGAACGAATCTGTTCCCATAAGGAATATTGTGAAGAAGATAAGTCCATTTCAGACCCCCAAACATACATGTACAAACGCACTTACATAAATACACTTACATAATTGGTTGCACTGGGAGTTGATTGTAAAGCGGGGGTCCACTGTACTATACTGTACTATGCAACAATCAATCAATTTATTCACAATACATTTTAACAAAAAAGTTAATACAGTGGACCCTCGGTTTCCGTGTTTAATCTGTTCCAGAGCGATCGGCCAAAATTGAAATCGACCAAAATCAAAACCATTTTCCCCATAAGAAATAAAAAAATTTTTTTACCTTAAAAATAGATTTACATGCACAAAACAATGAACATTACACATAACACTTACCTTTATTGAAGGCTGTTGTTGCTGGAAGGAAGACGGAGGAGGGGAGAGGGAAGAGAGGTTATTCTTTGGAAAGGGGAATCCCCCTCCATAAGGACTGTAGGTACCAAGTCCTTATCCACAGTCACTTCCTTCCTTTGTTTTTTAATGCCATTAGGACCAGCTTGAGAGTCACTGCACCCGTGGCACAAAATATCTGTCCAGATAGGTCTGTTTCTGGCGTCTCTTTAAAATTTCCCTAAAATAAGACATGGCATTGTCATTGTAAAAGTTGCCAGCATGGATTGCAATAACTTTCTCAGCATGATGTTGCTCCACAAATGACTGCACTCTAGTCCATGCTGAACAAATCTTAATCTCTGAAGAAGGCACCTGCTTCCATCTCTCTTCCTCCTCCTCTGCATCAATTTCCTGTACAGTGGACCCCCGGTATTCGATGTCATCGGTATTTGATAAATCCGGTATTCGATGCATTATATCACAAAAAATTTTCCTCGGTATTCGATTGAAAACCCGGTATTCGATACGATTCGTACAAGACCTGTCCACATGTGGCCTGAACTGCCCCTTGTGTGCCAGTGTTTACAAGCCAGCCAGTGTGCGCGCATCTAAGGATACATTCGGTACATTCCATATTATCCATATTATCACTGTGTTTGGTGCTTGTTTCTGCAAAATAAGTCACCATGGGCCCCAAGAAAGCTTCTAGTGCCAACCCTGTGGTAAAAAGGGTGAGAATTAGTATGGAAATTAAGAAAGATTCTGAAGGGTTTGGGGCTAACCCTGAGAAGCCTATACCAGTTGTGGAATACATTGTGCCTACTTCAAAAATTAAGGAAATGTGTGCACAGTGGGTTGAAGTGCAAACCTTTATGGATGAAAATCACCCTAACACAGCTATTACAATGACAATGTTGTGGCCCATTTTAGGCAAATCGTAAAGGAACGGGAGGTACAGAGCTCTATGGACAGATTTGTTGTGCGACAGAGGTGACTCTCAAGCTGGTCCTAGTGGCATTAAAAGAAGAAGGGAAGTAACCCTGGAAAAGGACTTGCTACCTCAAGTCCTAATGGAAGGGGATTCCCCTTCTAAACGCTAACACCTCTCCCCTCCTTCCATCCCATCAATCATCACCAGATCTTCATTAACCCTTTCAGGGTCCGTCCCGTAGATCTACGGCTTTACGTTCAGGGTCCAAACCATAGATCTACGCCAAAATTCTAGCGCCGTCAAATTTAGCATGAGAAGGCTGGTAGGCCTACATCTAAGAGAATGGGTCTGGGTGGTCAGTGTGCACACCATAGAAAAAATCTGGACGCCCACATGGCATTGTGGGAACGCCGGCAAAGTAGCTTTGTTCATAGTGCCTGGCGGCAAGATGCTCTCACTCCCCACTCACTCTCCGGGCGAATTCTGACTCTCCTCTTCACAACTTACAGTTCTAAGACTGATGGAAGTGGAGCTGAAGACGAATTCTATGGGTTTGAATCATATGGTACCATTGTGCCATATGGTACAATGGTACCATATGGTACAATGGTGCCATGTCATACAATGGTATCATATGGTACAATGGTATATGGTACAATGGTACCATATGGTACAATGTATGTATAGTACATTGTACCATATAGTACATTGTACCATATAGTACATTGTACCATATGGTACAGGGTACAGGGACCCTAATGGAAATAAATCTGTCTGACTTTTTTGGGGTTATCCTAGGTTCTCCAAACATATGCTGCTAAGTATGATATTCTATGTAACTTTATTTGTGTATAACTAAATAAACTTACTTATGATGCCACATGCACTTGAGTAAGTTTATTCAGGTGTACAGAAATACAATTACATAGATTATCATACATAGTAGCATATGTATAAAATCCTAGGATAACGCAAAAAAGTCAGGGTGACTTATTTCTATAGTTATCCCTGTATCTGTACCATATGGTACCCTGTACCATATGGTACCCTGTACCACATGGTACCCTGTACCATATGGTACCCTGTACCATATGGTACCCTGTACCATATGGTACCCTGCACCATATTGTACCCTGCACCATATGGTACCCTGCACCATATGGTACCCTGCACCATATGTTATCCTGTACTGCATGGTACCTTTTACCATACAGTACAATGTACCATATGGTACCCTGTAACATATACCATGTACCATATGGTCAATAGGTGTTGGTGGCATGAGACACCAGCCAAGACTGAGTGGAGACACCAGCCAAGACTGAGTGGCGACACAAGCTACTGACTCCACAGTTTCCGAGACAAAGTGCTTTGTCATCCACCTCAAGGAACACATAAAGTTCCTGTACACTTGTAAATATATAATAGAACATTACTAATATACAACATTTTTGCATATTTTTGTTGTAAACAACTATTGTAAACAAAATAATGATGAAAATATTAGTGTGTTGAATACAACAGTACCATATTTATTTATTTATTAACAATTTGAGCACACATACAGAGGTACATATGGTGGCATGAGACACCATATGGTACAATGAACCATATGGTATCATTGTACTGTATGGTACAATGTACCATATGGTACTGTTGCATCGTATGGTACCGTATGGTACCATAAGGTACCATTGCACCTTATGGTACCATTGTACCAAATGGTGCCATTCTACCATGTGGTACCATTGTATCATATGGTACCATTGTATCATGTGCCATTGTACCATATTGTACCACATGGCACCATTGTATGATACGGTACCATTGTATTCAACAATAACCGCACTAATATTTTCATCACTTTGTTTACAATAAACTTGTAAACAAGTTTTGTAAGCAATATAATGATAAACAAATTAGTGCAGTTATTGTGTTGAATACAATGAGTGTACACTTATACAATATACATTATATTGGTCTCACAGGCCACAAATGTTATTAGAAAAAGAAAAAAATTAGAAAAGAAAAGAAAAAAGTATAAAAAAAAACATAAAATAAAAAAAATGGGATTTTGCGGAAGTCACTGATGTTGCCGCCACCCGGTCATTTTGGGTCAACTTCCCACCGCTGTATCTCGGTAAGTACTGATCAGAAAAAACTTTTTTTTTGTCTTATTACCTTCACAAAAATATACTCTTTAATTCTGTAGGAAAAACTAATTTTTTTTTTTTTTTCAAAATTTCTTGGACACTGGAGCACCACTTCAGATTTTGGCCTTGGACCCTGAAGGGGTTAAAGGTAAGTGTCAATTATTTTATTGTTATTGTAATTATTCTATTGCATTAAACTTAATATTTCATGTAGTAAAATTTTTTTTTTCATACTTTTGGGTGTCTTGCACGGATTAATTTGATTTTCATTATTTCTTATGAGGAAAATTGATTCGGTTTTCGATATTATCGGTATTCGACGAGCTCTTAGGAACGGATTAATATTGAATACCGCGGGTCCACTGTACTGTGGTCTGTTGCTGTTGCAGATGAAGCTCTTTCAGCTCATCAGTGGTTAGCTCTTGACTGTAGTCATCCACCAACTCTTCCACATCCTCACCACTCACATCCAACCCCATGGAATTCCCCAATGCCACAATTGATTTCTTTTTTCAGTTCTACGGTGTTCCTCACTTTCTTTACCAAAGCACTGTAATTAGGAGCTTTCTTTGGGGCCATGGTCACTTATTTAGCAGTCACACACAATAAACAAGTGGCAAAAACAGTGGATTATCACGAAATGTTTCGTATGACCTAGCAGGATATGTTCACTCACTGAGAAACAATGCTAAGCTGGTAGAGAATGCGTGTGGGAGGCAGCTTTGTCTGTGCGCTGGGCACTGGACAGGTTCTGTACAATTGATGAAAACGGAGGTAAGCGATGAAAACGAACCCAAAAAATTTACGAAAAAAGTCGGCCAGAACCGAAATCGGCGATAATGGAGATTGATGAAAATAGAACGTCCGCTGCATATGCTGTAATGGACAGGGCAGTTAAGCTAACTTTAACAAGACAGCCTTAACTTATAATTATACAGTGGACCCCCGGTTAATGATATTTTTTCATTCCA